ATCTATTTAAGTACTCATAGAGACAAAAGTAGGTAATTTCTCTCCCTGTCCCTGTTTCGTAAAAGATAAGAACGCTTACAAACATGGGATTTTCAAAATACACATCTCTACAGCAATGCCAATCGTTGTTAGTATTTAAACCTCACACATTCTGTCAGCAGCTTGACTAGGGCCTCCCAATTCTACTACACAGATGCACCATCTGTTGCTGCTCTGAAAATATATTTTTTTTTCCTGCTTCTCCCTCTTTTAAACAGGACACAATGTAGAACAGCACAATGAAAATCTTCAACACTTCCTATTGACTCAAATTTCCACTTATAATGGCCCTAGCTGAGAAAAAAAGTGTTAATAGATACATTAAATTAAAATAATCAGCTCAAAACATGCATATTAGTCACAAAAATCACAGAGCGCTAACATTTAGAATTTTGAAAAAGTACAACCTTCTTAACGTTAGTGTTGAAAAAAAATTGAATATTTAGTCAAACTAGATCTACAGCCAGCTCCACATACTGGCTGGTCTACCTAAATGCAGCTACCCTAAAGTCACCGTATTTCAGTCTGCTAGGGCTACTAGAACAAAGTTCCACAGATGAAGTGACTTCCAAAACAATGTGGCATGTGCCAATATTCCAAATGATGCTCTGTTGGTCGGTAGAGTACCACTTGTGGAGGACAAAGATACAGACAAGTCTTCTCAATAAGACAACATGGGACAAGAGGTTTAGTTTCAAGGCTGGTAGTGGTGTCAACCAAAGGCAGAGGAATGGAATTTCCTGAGTAATTGTAGCAAAGAGAGGGGAGACAAGAATGGCTTCAGAGATTTCTGTCCAAATATCTCACATAGATTGACTGACAAACACTGTCTTTCTCCTTTTCCTGTTAACCTGTCCCTTCATGGCACCGTTCATTGTTCAAGCCTCGCTTATATAGTTGTGTCCTAGGAAAAAAACTGTTTAATGGGCAGACACCCATGTTATCTTGATTCTTAAAATCTTTCTGTTCCCTCCTCTGTGATGTTTTCTGAGCCATGGACGCCACAGCTATGATATAGATATATCTATGAGGACCGGGTTTCACACTCTATATGATGGTATTTGTTCGCTGTAAGTGGCATGCATGCAGAAAGGGAAGGGAGGGTGGGATCGGGAGGGGAGGAGGGAGAGGCTTATGGGGGGATACAAAATGAATAAAGTGTAATTAATAAAAAATTAAAAAACAACTCAAAAAAAAAAAAAGAAAGGCTTCTTTGATGAGAAGCAGTAGCCACACTTGTCTGTGTGTATAAGGATAAGAGGTAGTAAGGAATTATGCTGGCCTAGAAAAGTGTTAATAGTAGATTCTTTTCTAAGATCCATGACCTCTCTAACCTTGGGAGGCTGGTTAGGTTTCCAGTGCCAGATACAATTTCTTTCCTGTTTAGGGAGACTTGAATGGTACAGTAAGTAGCACCTGCCTCTCAGTGCTAGCTAATGGAACTCAAGGAACATTGCTGCATTTTTTCCTCTTCTTGCCCTTTTTACTTTACTTCCTATAGTTTATCTTAGAATCATGATGTTCTATCTTCTCTTTGATTCATTTTCATTGTGAGGCTTTCCCTTGAGTTTTCTACTTGTCTTATTGAGGTTTTTTTAATTTTTTTAAATTCCTCATTTATTTCAGCTTGAATTCTCCTCAATGTTTCTAAATATTTATTGAATTCCATTTTCAAGTCCTGGGTTGTCCTCATCATTCCATCAGCTTTATGTTTGCGGGTTTTTTTTTTTTTTTTGGGTGGGGGGGAGCATCACTTGGGCATTTTGTTCACTGAACTATTTATATCTTCTTTAAACTTGGATCTTTGATTTTTTTATTGTTCTTTTAAATTATGTGTTCTGAGGACAGGAGCCTACCGCAGAGGGCCCCTGAAAGACTCTACCTAGCAGTGTATCAAAGCAGATACTAAGACTCATAACCAAACCTGTGGCAGAGTGCAGGGAATCATATGAAAGAAGGAGGAGTTAGTATGACTTGGAAAGGATAGGAGCTCCACAAGGACCAAATATATCTGGGCACAGGGGTCTTTTCTGAGACTGACACTCAACCAAGGACCATCTATGGATATAACCTAGAACCTTTGCTCGGATATAGCTCGTAGTAGCTCAGTAACCAATTGCTTTCCCATAGTAAGGAGAACAGGGACTATTTCTGACAGGAACTCAATGGGAGGCTCTTTGACCTTCCCACCCCTCAAGGGAGGAGCAGTACTGCTAGGTCACAGAGGAGGACTTTGCAGCCCGTCCTGAAGATACCTGATAAAACAGGGTCAGATGAAAGGGAAGGAGGTCCTCCCCAATCCGTGGACTTGGAAAGGGGCAGGAAGGAGATGAGGGAGGGAGGGAGAAATTGGGAGGGAACGAGGGAGTGGAATACAGCTGGGATACAAAGTTAATAAAATGTAACTAATAATTAAAAAATAAAAAAGTTTTAAAAAAGAATAAATACATAAATACATACATAAATAAATAAATAAATAAATAAATAAGTAAATAAATAAATAAATAAATAAATAAATAAATAAATAAGTATGTGTCCTGAGGTTCATGTAGGTTATTAGTTACATGAATGATAACTGGCCAGTCTGGAATTCAAATTTTAGTATTTGACGATATGAAGCTATCATAAGGTACCATGTCATCTAATAGAGACCTATATAAATCATTGGACAACTATAATAATTAAATGAACGTATTTTTTAGAAACTTAAGTAGTATTTTGGCTTATATTAATCAATACAAATTTAAATTGAGTAGGTTGTATTTATATATTTAGGAATATATATATATATATGTATTATATAATGAAAAAATAGATCATGAGTGTGAAACAAAGCAAGGACAGGCTAGTGGGAAGAAAAAGAAAGGAAGAAATGATGTAATTTCAAAAATAATTAAATTTTTAAAAATCCTTAAAGTTTTTGACTTTGTTTAAAATAAATTTCTTTAGGCCAATTGTCTCAAAAGACTTCAAATTTAGAAATGATTATTTTTAATATTATGTAATATTACTAGGTTTCAGTGTTTTTTCAGTAACTTTAAGGGGGATGATGGAAGCTGCTCAGGTCTCTATGGAGCAAAATGTATAAAGTTTTTCAGTGTGAAAGATTTTACAAACAAAAGTTTTCATTTGTATTAATTTTTACTGAATTAAAATTCGTAACATACATCTTTTGGTCTATTGAGGTTTTCTGAAAGATTCAGTTTTTGCAAACTATGCTTCAGTTATATCTAGAATTTTTATATGCTAAGAAATGAAGCACTTTTTTTCTGTATATTCTGTGACTGATATGGTGAGTACTTTCCCTGTTAGAAAACAACACAATCCATCATCCTTGGCTTTCGCTAGTGTTATGATGCACATTCAACATGCCTAGACTTGAGCAAGAATCTTCACTGTGCTTCATACTAACCAAAGTCTAGTTACCCTGCCAATTATTTCCACTGTGGTGTGTATATGGAATAGATGTGTAAACACTACTGGGGGAAAAATAAAAAATAAAACCTGACATATTTCTTTAAACATCAAATGTAACCAGGAAAGGTTCCCATAGCCTACAGAAATCATTTATGTTATATATCTTTCTATGTACAAAGACTTCAGCATGCACAACCTGTCTTAGAGTTTTGGCAATACATGTACATTTTTCAGTACTTTTATTTAAACGTTAGATATGTAGCTTAAATTATTTTAGTTCCATATGAGTATCTAGATGTAACCTTACACAAGTAGAAACTAATATCATTCCCTCACAAGAATGAAAATATACACAGCACCTCCTCATTTAGTCCTTTGTTTTACAAATCCAAACTATCCTAATTCTCAGTTATTTTCTAACAGGAAGATATAGCCAAAACATTGTTTAAGGAGAAGTAATTATAACTACTAATGCTAATCAATAGGTGGTAGAAGAATAGATGGTAGATAGATAAATAATAAATACACAGATAATTTTCTTCTGCCCATGGAGATTTATATATCTTCCTGGCTCATTCATCTTAACCAGTAAGTATAATGAATTATATATACATATATTTATAGATTTATTTTTTTTAAAGATTTATTTATTATTTATACAACATTCTGCCTGCACACCAGATCTAGCTATAGATGGTTATGAGCCACCATGTGGTTGCTGGGAGTCGAACTCAGGACCTTTAAAAGAACAGCGAGTGTTCTTAACCTCTGAGCCATCTCTCCAGCCCCTATAGATTTATTCTTACAGTAACTGTCAAATACATTTAAAATACAAATACAAAAAAGCAATCAGCAGTCATCAAACATAGAGCAAAAGAAACAGATCAAAGGGCAAACAGCATTTACATAGACTTTACTGACAAATTTATGAGTAAGCATAAGTAATTGTAAGTTAGGTCCCTTAGTAGCCCTTAGATTTGTAGATATTCAGACAATAGGGTGGACAAAATTTCTGAGAATCATTGGATCCATCCTGAGCCTGGAAGTCAAGGGTAATAGCACTTGATCATTTTTCCCCTATATCCATGTGACACCTCTCAAACCAAGAGGACAAAGTGGACAGGAGTGTGTTCTACCAGGAGCCACTCAACGAATTTTCTTCCAAGTTTAGCAAAGCTAAATCCCCTTTCTTACTGTGCTTAATCCTTTAAAGCACTATTCCACTTAGAATGACTGTAGAAGTCTAGGATTCACTTGAAGGATTTTTTTTTCTAATTAGTAGAGTTGCATTTGTTTAACTAACCTTATGGCCCATTGGCTACAAACCAAGCAATCTATCAGACTTCTGGTCCAGTTTTATTTGATAATGTGGCACTCTTTCTTTCATTCTTTTCAGTCCTCGTTTTATTTTCAGTATGTAGCAGAGAAATCTTGGGATAATGCCTTCAGATTTTCTCCTTCATCTACACATAAGAGTCATGTTGTTGACCGTACATCTGTTTTTGCCTAATTCTTCAGCAATGTCTATATTTTTCTCCAAACAGCTTCAAAACCAGTGGATTCAAAATTATGCACTGGCCCTGTTCCTAACACCACACAGCTCTGCCACATTCCTTGTCCAGTTGAATGTGAGGTTTCACCTTGGTCTGCCTGGGGACCTTGTACTTTTGAAAACTGTAATGATCAGCAAGGCAAAAAAGGTATGTAATGATGATATGGTCTGTTTAAAACAACCACCAACTGAGGCAAGTTGGGACCTGTTTTTAAAATGATGTCTTGTGCTCCTTGTCTGGCTTGAGATTTTGTAGCTCTTGTGTGTTCTGTCAAATCTTCCATAAGGTTGTATGAACAATTGTTGTGCTTGTTTGGAAAACACTGTTTTCTTGTAGTCATTCATGACCTCTAGCTCCTCTATCACAATGATCTGTGAGTTGGGGAAAAGGAGACCTGGTACAGATATCTTATTTAGGATTGAATCTGTTATTATATGTAGTTTGACCTGTTGTGAGTCTCTGTAGTAATCACTCTCCTACTCGGCAGAAGCTTCTCTGATGAGATTTTAGAGTTTCATTACTCTCTGGGTGTAATGATAAGTCTTTAGCAGTTGTGTCAGGTTCTTCTCTAGAGCATAGGTTCTACATTGCTACAGATTCTTGACCCTGGTGACTTGCCCAATATAGGTTTGATTTTGCGGAATGGGACTGAAATTCAATCAGAAAGTGGTTGCATGCTTCCATAATATTTATGCCACTTTCGAACCGATAGACCTGTTTTGTCAGGCCGGTCATTACTTTAGCTTTCAGGGTTCACAGCTAGATAAGAGAGACAGTTACTACTTCTCTCTGGGTCCTGCCAAGAGCACCTTTTAGCACTACGAAAGTTTGAGTAGGACTAAAGCTTCAAGGTTGATAAAGCTTAGATTTTCCGTGTTCTGTGGCTCACTTACAAATTGTCTTTAGCAATAAGGTCTTACCATCAAGTTCTGGATGATAACCAAGGGCATCAGTAATAACCTGAAATATTTCAGAGTCTGTAGAACCCACTGCACAACTTTCAAAGCAATAGCCCATTCCTGTAACTGGGCTTTTTTTTGTGCTAGCATGTGGTGTCTAGTCAAAATATCCTTCCATTACAGGATAACTCCATTTAAATTCTGTTCACATATGTATGTACATATGTTTTAGGCCAACTCTACACTACTTGGTTTCTATATGACTTTTCAAAAGGTCTTTGTATAATGTATTCGCCATATATCCTACTCATATTCTATCCATTCCTCCACAACACTTAATCATTTGTTTTCTATTTGAGTAACCCAGATTCAGAGAGAAATATGTGGCATTTTTTTCTCTCATTTGTGGATGTTATCTTGGAACCATATATGAATTTAATTCAGAATACTATAAACATTGTAAAGTTAGTAAGGCACCATGGCCAAGAGAAGGGAGCTTTAAAGGATGGGAAAGAAAGAATGTGGGAGAGAAAAAAAGGCAAAGGCAATGGTATAAAGGGGCAGAAGGGAATAATTGAACCTTAAACCATTTTCATTCTTCTTGCTCCTCCCTTCTCTCCTTTCTCCTTCCTTCCTTTTTTCTGTCTTTCCTTTCTTAATTCTTTCCTTCCTTCCTCTCTTCCTTTCTTCCTGTCAATAAATGATTCATGAGTTCACATTAAACTTAAATTTGGGAATATGTAGAGTGGTTTTTCAGTTTGCACAAAACTCCTACCCTCTGTCTTCATCCAGCATTCACTCTAGGGTTTAAATCATTTTCTGAAATATTAAAACTCTAGCATTAACAATACAATTTTTTCCTTCCCCGATGACTCAGGATTCAAACTAAGGAAGCGGCGCATTACCAACGAGCCTACTGGAGGCTCTGGGGTAACTGGAAGCTGCCCTCACTTACTGGAAGCCATTCCCTGTGAGGAGCCGTCCTGCTATGACTGGAAAGCAGTGAGACTTGGAGACTGTGAACCAGATAATGGAAAAGCCTGCGGGCCAGGCACGCAAGTTCAAGAGGTTGTATGCATCAACAGTGATGGTAAGGCACACACTTCATTACAGTTTAGTGAAAAGTTGCTCAGTCTGACGATTGTAATTTTACCTTATTGTAAAATCAAATCTTTCTCTTTCTCTCTCTCACTGTTTCTCTCCCATTGTTGATAAGTACAGTGATCTATTAACTACCCAGGGTATTAATTTTATTTTGTGTTTTTATTAATAATATTTAATTGTTTTCTATTTGTTATACATTATTCTAAAATTCATAGGGACTCTGTGTACTGATTGCCTTCTACCAGCCTTTCTCCATCTTTCCTCCATTCTCCCCCGTCAGTCTCTTTTGCTCACCTATATTGTTTCCCTCCTGTTTTCATGTTATATAGGCATACAAGATTTTATTGGTCTATATAAATATTTAGAACCCACAAATGAGATAATACTTGTGATATTTTTCTTTCTGAGACCTATATGACTTACATAACACGATTAGCTTCAGTTTTTATGCATTTGCATACAAACAATATAATTTCATTGTTCTTTATGGTTGAAAAATCCCATTGTGTATCTACCACATCTTTACCCATTCCACTGTTGATGGACAAAGTGTTATTAATTGGAAGTAGAACAGATGAGGTGTGGTGAGATAAACTTACATCAGCAGGAGACTGTTTTGCAAAACAAATTTAAAAAATAACAGGGACAGGCAAAATTTTCTAAGTACTATTGTTTCACTTGCTTGATTATTAAATATAAATTAGCAAAAGGATTGTTGGCATGACTCCAGAACTTTTTCATTTCCCCTTTGATCTGTCTTAATGATATGACTTGGTTTCTGAGCCTCCATGCCATAAAGCCTATCACAGCACTGTGAGTCTAAATCAGTGTCTCCTCCCTTCCGGGGATGTAGCTGAGGCAGTGGAGGGTGCTGTCTCCAGAGTTCTTTTAATCAACCACAGTATGACCTTGGACTTTACAGTTAGTTTTTGTTTAGTAAAATACTCTGCCCTGGTGTGATAACTGACATAAGACACTTCCATTCTTCCTAAGAACAGTGCTCTTGGTCGGGAGAGAACCACCTGCTCACACTCTCTCAGTCACACTTTAAGGCCTCTGGATGGATGGTCTCTAAAGGTCCTGTTCACACTCAAATCCTATGACTCTGCATCTCATCGAAGCGTGAGCATTGAACCCCAGGGTCCCATGGTCTGACAGCTTATACTGTCTGCAGCACACGCAGAAGCATCCTGGCGTCTCTTGGGGGTGGTACAACATCTGGCAGCCGTCATAATTCCTTCCACCCTATTTTCTTCCAGCAAGCAAAATTGCTTTCTCACGTGGATCAGCCATTGCTCAGTAGCAAGAAGAATTCTCTGAGGTGGGAAACAGACATGGCTATCACTGAGAAATTAGCCTTTCATCTTTTAAACACAATCCGTCATCCTGTCCAGGGTCTGCATTATCCACACAGGGCAACACTGAGTAGAATCTGAGCTGGTTCTTGAAGCTGAACCATGGAGGAGGAGACTATTGCTCCAGATCTTTCATGATGAATTTATGTCCTCTGTTCTGTTTTGTAGAAGTATAATAAGCTATGGTGCTTCTAACTTTAGCTTTTCCCCTGTTCTGCTCTAAAGCAGAAAGGAGAGGAGACCAAGATCGGCATTCTGAAGCTGGCACACAGGAAAGCAAAACAGAAAAAAAAAAAAAAAATCTTTGCCTCTCTTTGAGTTATGACTGTGCACTCACACTTCAAACCTGAATTTGAATTGGCTGTACATTATAATCTTGATTGCTGAAAACCAAATAGTGATATTTAACTCTCTTTTTGATAGTTCTTTTTTGTGTGTTTGTTTGTTTGTTTGGTTGGTTGGTTGGTTTCTGTTTCTTTGTTTTTTCAAGACAGGGTTTCTCTATGTAGCCTTTTCTGTCCTGGACTTGCTTTGTAGACCAAGCTGGCCTTGAACCCACAGAAATCCACTTGCCTCTATGTCCCTGAGTTCTAGGATGACAGGAGTGCACTACCATGCCTGGTTTTGAGAGAACTTCTTGATTCATTTTCTCAGTTCAAATAATTTTTCTTGCCCCTATAAAATCCCAGGACGGTGTTCTAATTCCAAGTATTGCAAATGAGTATTTGAATGAAACAAAAAGTTCAAACAGAAGGGAATGAATCAGCAAATTCCTGCCTCTGTGTTAACCGTCCACAAAATAATCAGATATGACTTGTTTCATGTAAATATCTTAATGATATTACGCAAATTAAGAATGCTTTATATAGGGGAATGGCCACAATATCAGTGGTTGTTTTTAATTTTGTTAATGGAAAAGTTTTAGTAACGTAAGTAATCATTTTTTTTCTTATGGAATATTTTTAAAAAGCACAGACATGCTGGATACGTGCAATCGTATTACAAAGTGCTGTGTGCTATGACCAAAACACAACTTGGAATCTCATAATGCATGTGAGTTAGTTTCCCTTTGTCTACATCACTGATAAAATGAACTTAACCAGCTAAGAAGTATACATATGTTGTCTTGTTGCCACTATTTTCCTCTACTAGGAGATCTCACCCAGTAGTATATTGACCTTGTACACACCATAAGCAATACTGAGTTATCAAAGATAAAGGTGCAACCTAAGACTTTGACTGGCTCAGCTACAGTCAAGCACGTAGTCAAGCAAATCTTTAGTATAAATCCAAGACTTCGCTCATATTTGTATATGACTGATTCATAGCATGTGAGCAAGACTGGAGACCTGTAAATACTGCTCCCACCTCATCATGGAGTCACCTGGTAAGTGTTTAGCAGCTGCACCAAATGTTGCTCTGTAATTAAATCACCCCCAGGGAATTAACATTGATGAGTAGCGCAGACTTTACCCCCAGGCCGGAGCTGCAGCTATAGATTTTGTTTCATAATTAAGCCAAAGTTCAACTAGGGACATGAAGAACTAGAGAGGGTGAATCTGGAAAATATTAAAAAGCATTTTCTGGTCGCACATTCCTCACAAAGTTCACGACTTTATTAACAACACAAAAACATCTGAAGTCTCTGTTCTGAAATATTCTGGTGTAGGCTTCCAGAGACCATTAGGGATTCTGCTGCTGTTTCTTTCTCCGATTGTCTTGTAGGGAACAGGCTTGGGAAAGGTTGTGAGAAGGGTCAAGGGAGTTTTATGTAGATTCTCTGGCAAACAAGGGTGTGTAGCAGAATGGCGCAGAGAAGAGAGCACGGGACAGTCTGAGAAGAGATAAACATCCTATGTGCAGTCAAAACTGAAGAACACGAGGACAGCCAGTGCCACGCCTCTAGCACAATGAGAAGTCCTACATCAGGAATAGAGGACAGCCCAACCCTGAGTGTGTGATGTCTTTGAGAATAACCGAATTCCTCATTAGTTATCATGATGCATTTATATTTTAGGCAAAAAATATAGATTTGGTGCGCTAAGAGGGTTTTGTTTCCAGATTGGTTGGTGAGAGGCGGAACAAAAGCCACCAAGCTGCCAATAGGTGTGTGGTGGTCTAGTTACGGCTGTACTTTAGCTTTTGGGAGGCTGGGCAGAGCACCAAGAGTTAAAAACCAGTTTGAGCAACTCTAACAAGTTCCAAACTAGCCTGAGCTCTGAGCACTAGCTCAACATAACAAACAACAAAAAATAAATAAACAAGAGTTTGGGGGAAGTTGTATCAGTATAGTTTGTACCTATAAACGAAATATTATTTCTTATTTTCCAATGGAAACGAATTAAATCATGGCATCAATGTTTTCTGTTTCGGAATGTTGACATTATTTGATCTGAATGCCCTGAACTCAGTGTTCTTTCTTAAACTTTTATAAACTGTTAAAATTCAGCAGCGGTTTCAAATGCTGGCAGATTTGTGCCATCACTCTTACTTCTCCCTTGTTAGTAAATATTATTTGATTAATGATACTAGCAGGCACAATTCATTCTCATAACTGATTCATAATTTTATGAATTAAAGAAGTATATTTGTGAGTCTAGGCAGGACCTCTGCTGCTGAAGCACATCCCAGCCCTATAAAAATTGTTATATTGTATTGTAATTGTATAAAGAATGTTTGTAAGTACAGCCACTACAGGTGCAGTTGTGAGCTCAAGGAGAACCACTTGGCAGGGTTTGCTTCATCATTCTAGAATGGGTTAGCTATTTCACCCACAGACTCAGGGTCATAGCCCTCCAGCTCGATTTTCTAATATTACAGAAGAAACTCTACTTTATGCTTTGGAGACAAAATGTCACCCACGGGTTCCTGGGCTTGAGCGCTCGATCTCCAGCTGACGGACCTGTTTGGTGAGATTGTAGGCTGTTTAGAAGATGGAACAAAGCTGGAGGAAGAGAAACACCGGGACCAGCCTTGAAGTTTCTTGTTAGGCTCTGCCTCCTATCCTATTATCAGCCTCCTCTTCTGCCAGAATGTAAGGTGGTGAGGGGTCTTAACTGCGTGCCCAAAGCTCTGTATCCTCCCTTCCTGACCATGAAATAATGAGCACCTTCACAGTGTTAACCAAAAGAAATATTCTCCCGTTAATTACTTCTTATCAGGTGCTTGGCCACAAAATGAACAAAGCAGAAAAAAATATGTATTTAATTTGTGAATCAAATATTAAGAATAAAAACATTAACTAGTACAGTTTAGAGTCATAGTATGTTTTAATTAGCATGAGGCAAACCACAAAAGCAAAAATTGTGCTTGTTTGGGAAACTATTTCAATTTATCATTAAAAGTGCCAAGAGAATTAACCGAAAGCATCTACGTGAGATTTTATTACTTTTGGCAGTGACCCATTGTATGACTGTCTAGTATTTTCAGAAACTTTACCGCCAACTTCTTCCCTCTGTAATTTATGTATGAGTATCGCCATCTAAGCAGAGCGAAGGGCAGAAGCACATTATTTTCCCTGAGCACTTCATGCCATTCTTCATTAATTCTATGTAGTCAGTATCAAGAGGAATATAAGCATATGCCCTTACAACATCTTGAGGTAAACACAAGAATAAACATTTAACCACTG